CTTTCTTACTCAGTTTTGTAACAGCACTAAAAAATTGATCCGTGAATTCGAGGGGATTAAAATAAAAATAAATAGACATAATATGTCTAGATTATTCAACTAAATATACGTGAATATATATATGTGTGCGTGTGTGTGTGTGCGTGCGTGTGTGTGTGTGTGTGTGTGTATGTGTGTGCATGTGTGTGTGTGCATGCGTGTGTGTGTGTGTGTGTGTGTGTGTGTGTGTGTGTGTGTGTGTGTATAAAGGAAAAAACAATCGGAAAACTGCATGCAGTTTTAGCAGACGCGTTTCGTTCATTGCGGACTTTTTCAATGCAAAAAACGAAATGAATTTATTTGAACATAGTATATTTAAACAAGAAGAAACAAAACAAAATGTTGTTAATTACTAGAATAATTTAGAAACGCTTATATATATATATATTCATTGGGTCACCTGAAAAATTACGTCATTTACTTTTTATGTTTGAAGAGAATTTTTCATTTGTAGAGATGTTGTTTGGATTGTTGTGATGACGGATTCAGTCATTTTCTTTTCCACTTTCCTTGCTTATTAGACTTGTTATAAATTTGTTTATCCTCTTTTTTTTCCTCATATTCTTTTAATCCAGTTTTTTTCTCATTATTATTTTCACAATATTTTAAATTTCTCTTCTAAATATGTACTGGTCTCTGTTCAACATTTTTTTCGTAATTTTAAACGATGTAACTTTAGAATATTTTGTTTCTCTTTTGAGATTCTACATTTCTCAAAACCCATGGAAATCTTTTATATATCTGAAATTAAAATATAAATATCAATTACTATGCCATTATATAGATTTTGTTACAATATGAAGAATAACTCGTCAGTTTCATAATAAAATGTTACAGTATAAAATAATTGTAAATAATTCTAATGTTATTTCAGATATAATTAAAACATCATACAATTTACTGCTCATATAAATACAAGTATATACTGAAACTGTTATCGTCATTGACGAATTAAAACCAATTTTATTGTGGAAAACGTAGAAGTGCATAAAACAATCTGACATCATGTAAGAAAAATAAATGGCTTTGTTTTTGTAAGACATGAAACTTTTGTTTAATTTTGTGGGTTGTGGTAGCAAAGTGTAAGTGTTATGATGATGGTACAGAGGTTGAATAAGGGTAATGGATGTAAGGGTCTTGTGCAGTCCTTTTCGTGAAGGTCAGCGGTTAACGCAATCGATACTTGGCTTCGAATTTTGGCTGTCTACTTGATGCTTTAAATTCAATTTTCCTTTTGTAATGACCGAGAGGGTAGTGAAGAATATGAAGTCTCATATTATGGCGCACGGAATCATCAAAATTTACACTCGAATGAAAATAGAACATAAGTTCGCAGTACGGGTCAGTGCATTGATTGAGAAAAAAAAATGACTGACAGCCTCTTTTTTCCGCTAAATGATTTGCTTATCGGGGGAAATCGGGCTCGGTTTTGAGATGAAATCAAGATCAATACACGAAACTGGCTCAATAACTCCGTAGATAAACACGTAATTAGTAAATTAACTTTGATCTTAAATTTTCAGTATATAGTGTTCGATTCACTGGAAATGATAATCAACTTTTTCCCAAAATTTAGCTCCAAAAATATCCCCCAAATCTTCTTTATTAAGTACATGTGTAATCTTTATTCAGTACTGAATAATTTGATTGATTCATTTTTAAGGCTTATCAACACTTTGCAGGTTATTTAAAGCCAGAAAATATTTTTACATTATATTTTTGGCGATAATAATGATTTAGTTAAAGAAGTTTGACAAACTAACCCTAACCCTGGGCGAGAAGAGGTGGATCCAGACCGTTTCCATTTGCACGTAAGTGAATTCTAACGAATTCAACGGAAATTTGAACTCGGCTCTCCGCTTAAAAATCTCGAGCCATTATCTATTACACCACCCGCACATCCAAGTTTACAGCTCCTGGTATTCCCAACCAGTAGATGTCTAGAACCTATCTGTATAAGAGTTTAATAACATATTTTCAAATATCGTTGTTATTATTCATATTTCCAGTTTTCTCGATTTTTATTTAATACCATTCTTTACCAAGCTTTTCTTTAACTAATATTGAAACAATTCCAATCTATTTACATTATTTGGACTATTGTCCTCATCTTTGTTGCCATATTTATCACAACGTTTCGGCGGTCGTACGCTCCAATCTTCTTCAGGTGGTTGGAATATCGAACTGAACCCTTTATTTCACTCACTGGGGTAGACTGTTCTAGTTTCAACATGCTATGTCTAATGGATGTCAGTTATTTCCTGTTAATTCACCTCTCCAAGTTCTCCACTGCCTTAACCAGGTATTGAACTCACAAATCTTTGGGTCCAATCTGTTTAGGAATCGCGGTTTTCTATGCGTAGTTTAGATGTGGCAAAAGGACGAAATTATGGGGCACCCCGTGAGGCTCGAACTCACTTCTCAGTCATAATTGATCTAGTGAGAAAAGCTTGCTAACCATTACACCACGCCGAGGCGCCCCAATCTGTTTAGGAATGACTGCAAAAGACTTTCTCTTTCTTAATTTATCGACAAAGTCATACAAATGTAGGCTGGAATTTTTTTTTTAACCAATAAGATTAGGCTACCTTTCGACATAATTCTGTTTTAATTTCTTGTCTTGAAGCCAGAACGCTGCGATCGCCTGTCTGTATCCCCTTTTATGTGCCAACATCATTCTTAGTTTGTGAACATTTTGCCTTATTATTGTTGCATTTTTTGTGTATATGTATGTACTAGTGAGCAAGTCAAAATGAGTTGACTCATTTTATAGTTCACCAATAGAAGGGTTAACCAATCAGAAAGCTCAAAATATTCAATGCGACGTATATAAAGGCAGCCATTTTTTTCTCTCCCAAATTGTCTGCACTGCCAACCTGATATCGAAGACTTAAAGAATTACTTAGCAACCGCTACTTTTTCTGAATCTTCACTGCCGACCTCTTCCATATTCAGAGACTGAGGCAAACATGGTCAACAATTATTGTTACTTTGCCTTTTTACTGTTGCTTTGCCTTTCATATATTATTTGCTTGCTTATAATATTTTTGCCCTGTTTCTTCTTTATCGTGTTATTGTTTATTGCAAACGTTGTCAATTCTATTTGTTGGGCAGTTCTGCCAATTACATTTAACCATGACCACTTAACCATTTAATTTAACCATGGCCACTTACATTACAAATAACCACACGCAGTAGAAGATTACCGAATGATGTTGCATGTGCGTAAGAAGAGGAGGCAAGAAGTACAGTGCTTATGGTTATGTAGGGGATGGTAACCGTAGACAGGGAGAGATTAAGATTGTAGTAATCGGGAGAAATCCTCTCGGCAATCAGTTTCATAAAGTAGTAGTTCTGTGGAAGAAGCTGTAGAACTTCCTCCTTACAGATGGAATACGAAGGGAATTAGAATGAGTCGTTCAACTGTACATGTCACGACAGGTCTTAGCTGTTAAGGTCTGAACTAGTGAAACTAAGGAATGTTGCCCGTACAGAACATTTAAAGCATTTGCCATGGAAATGGTGAGTAGTGAGAGACATTTCGTCTGTTGTAAATAGTTTGTAAGATGGAAAAAATTCATCGATGGACGGAGAGCTTATTAAATTGAAGTCAAAGGCCATGAACAGATAATTGTTCTTATGGACTCAACGGCCGCTTGAAGCCATAAATTATTTTTAGATTTTAAGAATTGTTTTGGAGATAATAATAGTTTATTAATACAAGTTTTACTAATTAATCCATAGCTGAGGGGAGAAAAGGTGAATACATACCTTTCTCAATGGTATTTGGGCGTATAACGAACCCAAGTGGAATTTGAACTTGGCTCTCCGAATAAAAATTCCGAGTCATTATCCATTACACCATCTGCGCATCCAAGCTTGTCGTATCTGGTATGATCAAGCGGTAACTCATTTAGGTACTAACTTTGCTTAAATTTGGTGATCGTACGGGGAAAAGATCTTTCAATTTGATAAAGCCGTAAGCCGTGTCCGTGAACAAGGCGAATCTCCGAGTTGGATTCCATCGACTGTCGTTTGACTTGGAGAGGGATGGGTTGCGCCAGAACAATTTGCCCACGTTATGCTGCGCATGAATGATACCTCAACGACTGTCAACTCAGATATGTGGTGGGAGCTGGTCAGATGCTCAGCTAACACACACACACACACACACACACACACACACACACACACACACACACACACACACACACATATATATATATATATATATATATAGAGAGAGAGAGAGAGAGAGAGAGAATTAATATGGGGAAACTTGACACTTAACTGGGTGGTGTTATTTCAGTCACACAGACTTCGAAGTTTCGTTAGCGCATTTCAGTAATGCCTTCACTCTTCACGGCTGTTAACTTCTCTCTATATATGTGTGTGTGTGCATGTGTGTGTGTGTGTGTGCATGTGTGTGTGTGTGTATTTGTGATATATGTAGAGAGAGTCAGAGAGTGAGAGAGTAGTTGAGAAAGCAAGTTAAGGAAAGAAAGACAATAAGAACAAAAAATGAGAACAAACTATACATAACAATAATGACAACGGTTCACATAAGAAATTCGCCCATTCTCCAATATCATCCATGTTGTCTGCCATATTTCAGCAAATTCTGCTTTGTCAAGTGATTTTAGTGAATGTTTCTGTCCCATCAATCATGAAACGGTGTTGGTTGTAAATAAGCGCGCTTAGACGAGGAACATTACTCCCCGGTCGTGAAATCCCTGTAAGCGAGGGACAAATCATCAAGTCTACTTTGCTGTGTGGACCATGAGGAGAACATATTGATTGAGGCTTAAAGATATTTGAAACAGGATCGGTATTCTTCTGTCTAATGGCCTCAGCTTACAGGTGAACTCCGACCTTTACAAGAGACGAGTGACGCCTACATGTGACCTGCCGTTATAAGGCGGCAGACATCTGTGATTCATATCTGTCAAGCACTAATTCAGAAGCTTTAACGTGAATCTATCTATCTATCTATCTATCTATCTATCTATCTATCTATGTATATATATATATATATATATATATATATATATATATATATGTGTGTGTGTGTGTGTGTGTGTATCTATTGTATGCGTATAGGTGTATTTAATAATATGTTAATAGAACAAGGAGGAAGTTGACTGAACGTTTTGTGTGTATTTGAATTTGACCTAAAAGGTCAAACTATGGTATTAGTGATTAGCAATACGTCTACGGATTTATTTCAAAATATGGACATTAAGAGCAATCGTATATAGAAATTGAATCGCAAAAATATCACACATGGCATATTTTCTTGTTTAGAATGGTGCAGTCAGAAAAAGAATAAAACAATTCTTGCTGGACAAAATAATGGAACTGATTTGTCGAAATTTGGAAAATAATCAGTGAGGCATCTACTAAGCTTGCGAGAAAATATGAGAAGAGATCGGATTTGTTAAATCTATCTATCTATCTATCTATGGCAGCCTGTTCATATCTATCTATCTATCTATCTATCTATCTATGGCAGCCTGTTCATATCTATCTATCTATCTATCTATCTATCTATCTATCTATCTATCTATGGCAGCCTGTTCATTATCTATCTATCTATCTATCTATCTATGGCAGCCTGTTCATATCTATCTATCTATCTATCTATCTATGGCAGCCTGTTCATCTATATCTATCTATCTATCTATCTATCTATCTATCTATCTATCTATCTATCTATCTATCTATCTATCTATGGCAGCCTGTTCATTATCTATCTATCTATCTATCTATCTATGGCAGCCTGTTCATATCTATCTATCTATCTATCTATCTATGGCAGCCTGTTCATATCTATCTATCTATCTATCTATCTATGGCAGCCTGTTCATATCTATCTATCTATCTATCTATTCATCTATCTATCTATCTATCTATCCTGTTCATTATCTATCTATCTATCTATCTATCTATCTATCTATCTATCTATCTATCTATCTATTTCTTTCTGAGGTAGACCAGTTGCCTTCCAAGGCTATAGAACCCAGTCTGTTCTGCTATTTACCAATAGATGGTGGGGGGGGGGAAGAAGAAGACGAGGATTCATACCTTTCCCAAAGGTATTAGAACATAAGTGAATAGAGTGATACCATTCCCAAAAGGATTTACGGTCTTGACTTGGCATCTCGGCTTCAGTCACTTTCCCTCCGCCATAATATAGCTTTCTTGTGTTTTTTCTATAAATATTTTCATGGTAATTGTTCTGATGAACATTCCGCTATGGTACCTAGACTTTATGAATTTAAACATAGTACCATATAGATTGGTGTCAATGCCTCATCATTTAAACACAGTAAAATATAGATTGGTGGCAAGGGCTCATCATTTAAACACTTGAAATTGCTAAATATAAGCGTATGTTCTACGCTAACAATTACTTCTGTCGCCTTTAGAACACTTTTCCAGCTTCTTGCTTCTCAGTCAACTTTGATCTTCATAAATGTTTAACGCAATGTCAATCATTATTTTTTATCTTAATTACTGTTCATTTATTGTTTTCTCTCCTTAAGGTTTTTTTTTCTAATATTCTTTCACGCTCAGTAACCCCTTGTGTCTCAGTGGTTTTCTTGCCTTGCTTGGGGTGAAATAATCTTTCAAAAGTGAATGAACCAACTTTTCTGATGATTCCAAACATGTTAAAATAGAAATTATTGGGAATTTTCATATATGTAATTTTCTTTTCACCGACCTAAATTTTCTTTCTTTGTTTCTTTCTTCTTTCTTTCTTTCTTTCTTTTTCTTAAGTTTGATTCTTTCTTCTTACTTTCGTCATCCTATTTAATTTTCTCTTTTTTCCTCGTATTTATTCTTTCTTTCTTTCTTTCTTTCTTTATCTGTTCTTTTTCTCTGTTTTTTTTTAAAATTTGATTCTTTTTTCTTACTTTCTTCATTCTCTTTCTTTTTCTTTTTCTTAGTATTGATTCTTTTTTCTTTCTTTTTCTCTTTGGTTCTTTCTTTTTTAAGTTTGATTCTTTCTTCTTACTCCATTCTTTTTCTTTTTCGCTTTGTTTTTCCTCGAATTGATTCTTTGTTCGTTTGTTTGTTTGTCTGTTTCTTTCTTTTTTTGTCCCCAGTCTGATCCTTTCTTTTTTTTTCTGTAAATTGCTATACTTTCTTTTCCCACGCTCGAATTCCCCGTCCAACGTCTTTTTTTTATTTGAAGTCCTGCGTTAAGCCATGTGCCTTTAGAATAAATAGTTACACTATTAATAAAGAGACGTCGTATTCCGTTTTCTTTCGAAAGCGTTTTTGAGCGCGCTTTCTTCTTTCGTGTTGCACAACTGGGAAAACGCTTTCCCGTCTTTCTGTCCTCTCGCGTCGCCACCAATACATCATATTTTATGAGTTATGGCCCTTACCCAGATAAAAAGTCTCACATATTAATGGAACCTCGCTTAAGGGACGTTCAAAGACGGGCTACCATTTCACTAAAATCTCGAATCGTGTCGTGAGAAGTGAGACGAGATTTGTAACAAGTGCATTAAGAAATTGTTGAAAATAAATGGGTAGGAAAGTCTCCAGCTTTTACGATTACCTCTAAGTGTTCAGTTTGTCTCGTTGGGACGATGCAAAGAAGTCCAGCCGTGCGATGGGGAGCCAATACTATTTAACATCTATCGAATAACTGATATTGGAAGAAATCAACTCCATATAGAGAATATCTTATTTATTTTTTTGAATTTATTCTCGGATGAATTTTACCAAATCTGAAAATCAATCCCAAATATATGTCGAATACCTCTTGGACGATATCCTTTGTTCCAAGTCGTAATCGCCAGATTTTAAATATCACTAGATATACATGGTCAGCTTATATCGTATCAAAACCGAAAATGTTCGTTATCCAAAAACGAACCTAATACATTAAGTAATTAACAAATATTGATAGATTTTTGGGTGCTACGTTGGCTTGTTACCGACAAGGAAAAATATCTACTTTGGTTTGTTATCTACAAGGAAAAATATCTATACCGTACAAATTTTATTTTGGAATGATATCGACATAGAAAAATAGGTGCTACTTTTCCTTGTAGATATAAAGCCAAAGTCGATTGCATGACATATAATTTTTATATATGTATAATGTTCACTCAATACAAACCCTAGGAGCCATTCAAGGTAGTATGTTAATGTATGGTGTTGTATGAACGTAGGAAAAAGCAAAATATGCAATTCATGAGGTTGTGTATGAAATATAATGGTTGTCTCTAGACACGAAGAGTTCAGGATTGTAGCGATTGCAATTTGAGTCTGTTTCACAAAGCAGCTTTTTTGGGGAAGAATCTATCCGAGTGGAACTACCTTTTTAATAATAGATTAAAAAGGAGATGAGGATGATTCATTCTTGTGTATGTATCATGAGGGGATCCAGTTGCAAAGGACAGGGCTGGTCTAACCAAGGAATGTAGCTCATCCGAATACCTGTCATGGAAATAGCGATAAAAATAGCGTGATGCTTACGACGTTTCATCTGTGGCTAGGGGGTTTTAGGATGGGAAAAAATCCATCATTCACAAGGCTGCGTAGACGCTTCTGAACTCTGTCAAGATAGGGAAATTAGGCCTGGGCAGCTCCAAACCAGCAGCAATACACCGTTTTTGGTCTTATTTGGCTTTTGTAAAAATAATTGAAGTCAGATACTTACTGGAGCAGTACAATCAACCGAACATTTACCAGCAACAGATCGGATATATGAATTCCACTTGAGGGCTAGGGAGAGCTTGTCTAAACATGCATTCAAGTCTAGGGTTCTCCTCGGGATACCACCCATCAACCATGATAGGTGAAATTTCAGTCTCTGCAGTGATGGTTGAACAACATTTTTAATAAATTCATTGACCTTGGTCTTTCTTGGAATATTTTATTTTAAGTCATAGTTTGATTAATTATCAGTTAGAAATAATTCATTATTTATTGACCATTTATTATTGTTGCTCTGATTATTAACAAGCGATTAATAGTCTAATTCGTGTCTGGAAGATGCGATAAAAAGCAGCAGAAATTAAGATGAAAGAAATACATGTTAAAAATGAGTAATGCCTTACAAGCCTTAATCTAAAATAGCAGTCAGTGCTTCTCAAACGGTGCGGTGCGCGTTATATGTGCGTCGGAAGGGGGTAGCAGGTGAGGCGGAATGATCGAAAGAATATTAAAGATTTAGAAGTAGTTTTAAAAAATTCATATGCCAAAAATAAATATGATTTCAAAATTTAAAATATTATTATGTCGTAATTGCATGTACGAGTCCTAGTATAAATAATTATTGACCGATTTTATCATTGTGCTATTTTTGCATTATATCAAGTATTAAGAATATAGTAACTAGGGCCTGCAAATTGGAGGAGAGAGTTATCAATGATAATTTTCTGACTTAGAATCCGTAGTTATCTCACTTTAACCTTGTCTCTGCTTTTTTAAAATTATTTTTAAATGCGGCCCAAAGAAAAAAAAGTTTGGGAACTACTGGAAATAGTTGCAATGAAAAGCAGCTGAAATTAAAATGGAATAAATAGTAAACAAAAATTAATTCAAACTGCCTATGCTTTCATCAAATGAAATCAAATAAAAATCATTTTTATTCTAAATTTTTTGTAACATTGTTAACACGAGGAAATAAGCATAGACTCTGGTTTAATTTAAACAAATTTATTGGGTTCAGTTTTAATTAGATATAACATGTGTGTTAATCAGTTTAATGAATCTCCTGATTTTAATGGGATACCTTGCCTGTCATACTCTTGAATTGGCTATCTACCATGTGAAAATCATTCACGGACTTCTCCAAGTATGGCTGTCGAGGCACACTTTTCTTCTGGCTCGCCTAAAATTGAATTGTCGAATAAAAGATCGATTGTTTCGACGGAGCCAACAGAAAATAGGCAGAAGAATCAGATAAGATGTGCTCTTTGTCAAACAGCCAATAAGTCGTCATCGAAGTTCACTCGACTTATCCATTTACTGATTACAGTCTGGTGTTTGTGTGGAGGTGGCGGACGAAACAACTACTTAACAGTATGTTTTGTTAAACTATCAGCTGGTTGCGCAAAATGCAAGCCAAACAATCGATTGAAAAAAAAAACTCAACAAAAAATATTATTTATGATTGGCATTAGCCGGCCATTTAGGTCCATGTTGTTTGTAAGAATTTTTTTTTTTCATTGATTCATTGACAATAAAAAATGTGGTTTAAAGCGATCGATGTTTTATTTGAGTTTTCATACAAATATGATACAGGATCGTTTATCATGAGAATGTAGATTTTTTTCTATAAAATAAACTTTTTAATTTTTGTTAAATCTTATAACATATTATAATTGATATTTAAATATCAATAGAAGCTGCAAGCCTTTATTTCCAATTTTTAAATATGGATAAAAGATGAATAATATATAATTTGAGATGAAATTAAAATCTAATTTTCTAACAATAAAGTTAAAGTAAAATTTAAGTTTCAGAAAAAAAACGTGAATCAAAAATTCGTCTTGTTAATGTAGATTTTCTTCATGTGAAATGTCTTTTTCCAGCGCGCCAAAGAGTTTTAGTATGTGTCGGTGGTGTAAAGGATAGCGATTCGGAATGTGGTGTTCAAATTGTAGTCGGGTTCGTTACATTCACTTACGTACATGTCCTTGGGAAAAGAATGAATCCAACTTCTCCTCCAATCTATGGGTTAAATAATAGGACATGTATCAAGAAAAATCATTGTTATTCTAAAAAAAGGAAGAAAGGTTAATGCAATATTTCCTCGAAGAAAATCCCAAATGTGTTTCAGCTTTAAATGGCCAACAAGCAGTTAATAAACAAAGAATATTTTTCATAATGGCTATCAATAGTCGAAAGCAAACAGACATTGAAAAATTTCTATCTAATTATATATTTGAAATGTATACACGCACCCACTATCAACAAATGTCTGCTTGCGTCCTCGTTTGCATGCATCATCCGTTGGGATACTAAGCTACCCTCCCTCATCTTTTTACGATATGTACATAGCAAGTGTTTGATTGTTCTTAATAAAGGAATCCAATCGGTAAAACATTGCGTGGTCGTTGCTCGGGATTAAATTGTCTCAGTGTTTTAGATATTCAGTAACTTTCCTATGGCCGTAATAACAATTAGTATGGCGTTGTTCACAAATCTAATAAGCAAAAACAGGGATGAAGCGTCAGAACTTGATTCAACTGCAAGTGAAATCGCATGAACGCACCCTTTCTTCTTCGCACTTTTACTGTAAAACTGGAGTTACTAAGAGGTTCTTCGGGAATTTTTCCCTTTTAACGCTTCAATAATCTTTCTCAAACAATCTTTTCAGCAAAAATTGTTCAAATGCCAAATTAAGATGGAATCATATGAAGAAACTATTGGCTAGATGGCAAAAGCCGATTTTGGACCTAGTTTGTTGCAGATTTCATCCACATTTACGCAAGAAAATTTGTGCAGCATATGTAATTTACATGGCAAATTTGGAAAGCATCGGATAAAAAACCGGGAAGTTATGTACGAAAAACGGGTTTTTTTAACTGTTTTTCGAGGTTTTTCGTTATACGCGGAGAAGCGAGCGGGGATTTCAGGGATTATATCATATTTTTGCGACATGTTTGAAGAAAATTGGATAAGAAATGAGGAAGTTATTCAAGTTTTTATTTCAAGTAGTACGAAAAACCCGATTTTTTCACAAATTTTTGTAATTTTTTGTATGAAACTAATGTCACAGGAAAACCATCAAACACTCTACATAAAGCTCGTAACCTGCTATGTTTTGCATTAAGTGCAGACGACATCAACTCATCCAGTAAAAATTTTGTTCTCTTGTAACTTTGTCTTGGTTTTTACAAAAAGTCGTACCCACCTTCAGTTTTATCGATGTTTCTGCCGAACCCCGGGGATCTGGAGATTGAAAAGTTGAACTTGACCTACCTTGGTAAATTTGCCACGTATCTATACAAGTTCATGGAAATGTGAACGTGCATAAATAGCTTATACGCACAAAGATACACAGACACACAGGCAGACACACACACACAGACATCTTCTGTTTTTATAGATATAGATTTATATATTATTTTTGTTAACGTTATTATTACTACTATTTTGAACGCATATTAAATAATATCTACACACGAAACGATACGTCTCTTTATTTTATTTAATATCAATTTTTTCTTTCTATATTAATAGCTTCAAGACTACATCGCTTTTAAAATGTTTCTTTTTTACTTGTTCGTTTTCTACGACTTATCAACCCTTTGTAGGTTAGAGAAAGAGATTATTTAAAGAAAATATTTCTAGATTAATAATTTTTTGGTGACAATAATGATTTAGTTATACAAGTCTTACTAATTAACCCATAGCTGGGAGGAGAAGAGGTGTATTTATATCTTTCCCAAGGGTATTTTCACGTAAGGGAATTAACCGAACTCATCTGAAATTGGCACTCGATTCTCTGATTAACAATTCTGAGCCATTATCCATTACACCACCTACAGATTCAAGCTTACAATACCTGGTATTCCTAAGCGGTCACCCATCTTAGGTACAGACCAAGATCGACGTTGCTTAACTTCAGTGATCCTACGAGAACCGATGTTTCAACATGTGGTGTTTGTATGCTTGTTAAGGTGTCATAGGGCGGTAAATGTCATTAACAATGGTTTGTAACATATTTCAAAAACCTTTCATTACAAAATTCCTCGATGATCTTTAAAAATGTTCGCTAAAGCAAACATTTTGTCATTTATTTTCATAATTACAATCGAAATATGACAATTTCAACAAAGAAAACACCTTCCTTTCCATTCATGCAATTTTTAAATTGGAAATATTTAATATTATTTTCATATACGGGGAAGAATTGTCGTGCCTTAGACATCATTGCCTGTCTTTCGAGCTAGCAATACTTTGGTATCTCAGTCAATCCAAATCTCGACTTATACACGAATATATTGTTTCGTATGAATGTAATCTCTTAGCGAATGGCTATTGGTTGTTAAGACATTTACTTGTGTCTGAGGCCGATTTCATTACTGTCCATCATCCTATGCTAGTGGACATTGGCATCGGAAGTTTTTATCTAATATGGAATGTGCATGCTGACCATAATGTCACTTATGGTAATTTTATCCTCGGACTCTGTCTGCAATAGCCTGGTTGCTTTCGACGCTGGTGACGATGGCGGCCTTGAAAGATGACCGAAATTTGCGCTGGAAGGGATGACTATAAACAGGTTAGAATAAAAGTGGAGAAGCAAAACGAATAAAAAGAAGCGAAAAGATGAGAATTAAGGAGAAAGGAATCAGAAAAGAATGAAGTTGGAAAGTGGAAAATAATGAATTCATGAGAAAAAGATACAAAATGAAAATGATCAAGAAGAAAGGAAGAAAAAATGTATGTTTTATCGATGGATGGAGAATTCAAGAGACAGGGACAAACAGGAAAAAAAGAAGGGAATAAAAAGGTAACAGGGGTGAATTGGGTGTCATTAATAAGGGTAGTGAGGGTGGGCCCAAGAGAAGTGAAATAAAAAAAAAAGGTAGACAGAAGGAAAATATATTGTAACGAGTCAGAGAGAAATATCGATCTGAAAGAAACGGACACAACGAGACAGACAGACAGACAGATAGATAGATAGATAGAGAGAGAGAGAGAGAGAGAGAGAGAGAGTAGAAGCTGGTGGGAATGATGAAGATGGAATGAGTTAAATCAAACGAATGAGAAAAATGAAAACTGGTTTGGCTGAAAAGTAAAAGAAGAGAAACGAAAAATACAATGTAGAAAAAATGATTTGGAGAAGAAAATGAGAAAATGAAAGGATGTCAGAGGGAGAAAGAGTAATAGACAAAGAGACAGTAAAAAAGAAAATACAGAGAGATAGAGATGAACATAGACAAACAGATTGAAAAATGAAGTGACACACACACACACACACACGCAGAAAATGATAGATAGATAGATAGATAGATAGATAGATAGATAGATAGATAGATAGATAGAATGACAGATAGAAATTTGTCGGTCGGCTAGACTGAAATAGAAAGATAGAATGAGTGCCATAAAGTCAAGCAGAGTAAGTGAAAAAAAGAGTCACAGAAAAAAAAAAATGATAGCAGTTTCTACAAACTGTAATGTATCTTTGAGGATCTAAAAAACCTAACAAAATACAAGGACCTTGAATTTGAAATCTCAAAAATGTGGCACATAAGGACATCAATTATAGTTGGAGCCCTCGGATTGATTGAAAAATGTTCCGATAGATACAGTGAAGGGATTTCTGATTATCCAAGCCTTAAAGAAATATAAAAAAATGCACTAACAAGTACAGCTCACACATTACGAAGGGCATGACCTATGTAAAATATGTGTGATCGTAGTTTATTTTGTTTTTTTTTCCTAAAAAAATAATACTCAGTGGAAAACGCCATGATGCCATTTCTGACCTTAAGTCTCTGGTTGGGACCCGGAAAGAAATGAGTATACACCATAAATCAAAGGAAATAATAATAATAATAATAATAATAATAATAATAATAAACCTACTCTACATGGATGATCTCAAACTCTTTGCCAAAGACGGCAATGAGTTGAAGGGCCTCCTCAATATTGTAAAATACTTCATTGACGACATAGGTATGGACGTCGGATTACATAAATGTGCAAAAGTAACATTCAAGAAAGGTAGAATTACAGAAACACCCTTAATAGATTTAGAGTTTGTCACAAACATTAGGGAAGCTTATAAGTACCTAGGAATTAGCGAAGGAGATGGCAAAAAACACCCCCAAATGAAGGTAAAAATAAGAAAAGAGTACTACAGGCGTGTACGTCTGGTACTAAATACTGAGCTAAACTCAAAAAACAGGATATCAGCCATAAACACATTGGCTGTCCCTGTGGTGCAATACAGCTTTAATGTCCTTAACTGGACCATAGCTGAAATTAAGCGAATGGACGCCAAAACGAGAAAGCTTCTCACTTGCTATCGCATGCATCATCCCAAAGCTGATGTTGATCGTCTGTATGTGCCCAGATCCGAAGGAGGCAGTGGATTAGTTCAACTAAAACTGTCCTACAAAACTACAACAATTGGCCTCCAAAGATATTTGGAAACTACAGAAGACTGGATGCTGGTATGCGTCAAGGAACATGAAAGTAGTAAGTGTCTTTACTCCGTAAAGAAAGAAGCCAACAAATTCAAAATGGAGTTTCAAATGGGCGTAGAGATGCAACTACAGCACAATACACCGGCTGAAACCGCAAAAAAGACAGCAAAGACGAATGCAACCGACCAGATACAGAAGCGATGGCAAGATAAACCGCTTCATGGCCAATACCCTGCCCGTACCAAACAAGCTGACGTAGACAAAACCCGTACCCATCAGTGGCTACGTAGTGCAGGGTTGAAAGCGGAAACTGAAGGTTTTATCCTTGCTGCGCAGGACCAATACTTGCTAATTAGGAATTATCAAGCACATATACTAAAATATTGTGTCAGCCCAAAATGCAGATTCTGTGATAAATATCCAGAAACGATTGATCATCTTGTATCAAGTTGCACGATGTTGGCACCCACTGAATATAAAACCCGACATGACACAGTGGGCCAATATCTGCACTGGAAAATCTGCAACTTCTACGGGAAGGAAACTGAAAGAAACTGGTATGAACACCACCCAGACCCGGTTACGGAGATAGGACCTGTTACAATTCTATGGGACTAACAATACACACTGATAGAACAATCAAGGCCAACCGCCCAGATATTGTTATTAAAGACCATAAACAAAAAAAACGGTGCCTCCTTATTGATATGGCAGTCCCTGCTGACTGCAATGTATCTTTGAAGATATTCAAAAGTTGTCAAAGTACAAGGACCTTGAAATAGAAATCTCGAAAATGTGGCATATGGGAACATCAACAATCCCTGTTGTAGTTGGAGCCCTAGGACTGGTTGGAAAAGATTCCAGTAGACTAATTGAAGGGATTCCTGGAAGTCCATGCCTCAAGGAGATACAAAAATTGTCCTGACAAGTATAGCCCACACCTTACGAAGGGCTTTATGTAATTTTTTTTTGTCAGTGGAAAGTGTCATGACGCCATTTCTAACCTTAGGTGCCTGGGCGGGACCCGAAAGAAATGTGTAAACGCCAGAAATCAAAGAAAATAAAAATAATAATAATAATAATAATATGGCGATGTAAGCATGTCCATGATTTAGAGATAAGTCCTGCAAAAAAAAAAAAGAAAAAAAAAGAAAATGAATGAGCTTTTAATTCACCCTCTCAAAATGATGTATATTCTCGTAGACACCACCGTGGAATTAATACCTCCCAAATGTACCTGATTTTGAATTGTTCTTCTAAATCGAATGCTAACCAAATCTCTAGAGTTTATTCTGCCTTGCTATTAATCCGTATTTTGGGTCGAAAATGGACATTTCTGAGAATGTGAACCCATGGCTTGAATTTGAACTCTAATCTCATTTTCTGCATCGATAACCTTGTCTTTACTTCCTACTAAGATACGTCTTAATCCATGATAAGTACCTACTAAGATACGTCTTAATTCATGATAAGTACCTAGTAAGATACATGTAAATTCAAGATTTGTACCTACGAAGATGCATCTTAATTCATGATATGTACTTGCTACGATACATTTTAGTCTGGTATAAGATTCGAACTCACAATACGAGTGAACTGATCGACCAGTGGATTTGGTTCTTAGATTAATTCAGTCACAAATTTAGAACATCCTTTGAGGGTTGAAAACACTACAGTATTAGTTGTCTGTAAGAATAGCATGTTTCATGTTAAGACGATATTTACATACACAAATTGAAATCGGGAAAAATGAAGGTGGGAATATTTTTCTGCGACAGGCTTTCAGCTGAGAATTGTCTATCATTCTTGAAAATCAGCTTTCGAAATGTAGGATTTTTGAAATGGGAAATATGCACCTGAATCAGTTGAAAAAGTAGTAAAGGATATTTTAAGCGTCGAGTATTGTCTAAGGAATCAGAGAAAATATATTACAGTGATAGAAGCTAAGTAAACTATTGGCGGGAAAGTGACTAAACAGGAAAAGTCACGCGAATGATGAACGGAGATGTGATAAGAAAGGATGGCAAAAAGAGTGGACAATTCAGAAAGTAGGTGGGTCACTTGTAAAATGAAGAGGCTTAGAAAGAGAGAAATTAGGCAATGGAAAAGACAACGCTAACCGAAAGGATAGAGACGAAAACACGGGGAATTGGAAACGATGAGAGGCGGGGGAAGAGTTGGGTGTTCATGCCATTCTGGTGTAGGGAGTATGGCATGTAAGGAATACTCCTGAACCTCAAATATGTGGTAATTGATGTTCAATTAACGACAAATTGGTTGCCCACAGGTGCCAAGATGCCTATGAATCTCAATTCAACTGAATTAACTGTCTCCACTTCCATATTTCCACCCCCCAGTACTGACTGTCCCAGCACAAACAGCAAGTATTTATCTTTCTACACCCTTTTTATTTGACTCTCGTTCTCACACCTCTATCTTCTATCTCTCTTTCTCTCTCACGATCGCCCAGCCCCAGTCAGTTATGGTCAGTACGACACGGACTGTGACGTCATCACCTGAGGCTACTTATCACCAAAGGTTGGCTTGGCGGGAGAATTTGCCTCCTGGCCCAATTACGGTTTCCCTAAACTACCACCACTACCATTTACCACCGATCTCCACCAGCCAGTACATCCACTAACCTTTTTTCTTTCTTTCTGGGGACAGTCTGAGGGTAATGTATTTCGTTCGTACGCACATGTCACTGGTGGTGAAGAAGATTGTCACCGGGGGCTACGGTCCGGTGTTTTAAATGAAATTCGCGCAGAAATGTCTTGGCGCCATTCGTTTTTAACACGAAATCCATATTTTGTCGGGCCGGACATGGACGTGTTTTTCTTCTGGAAACCACACTTAACATTACTGTTCCTGAAGATGACATGTCATTGTTAATTGCAGCTCATATATATATGCATGATTGTGCGTCTATAGCGTATTGGGGATTACGACGTCTACTTAATTTACGTAGATAAGAATATGGACAAGGCACATGGAATGCACACTTAGAGAGACACATATAAATATTTTGGTTCTTCAAATACATGAACCAAATTGATATATATATATATATATATATATATATGAAAAGTGTATATAAATATAAATAAATATATATATATATGTATAATTATTTATATATTATATGCGGTACTTATTAGAAAGCGCTCAATATAGAGCTAAATATTTGGTTGGATAGATGTAGTTTAGACCCTGGGTTTCACGCTTTTAGCGATTTGTCTGACGATAATTTAAAGCGTGAAACCCAGGGTCACAAACTCACATCTATCCAACCAAATATATATATATATATATATATATATATATATATATATATATATATATATTTTTGTGTGTGTATATTTGAGCAGTAATCCCTCTTTTATAAATGTTTCATTAAAGGCGACTGACAAGGTACTGCGATTAAGGTTTTTATTCAGTTTATCTTGGATTGGTATGAGGGTTTCTTTTCTGGATATAAAATGTGTAAAAACAGACCAAATGTTCTATATATACGAGCGCTTTTAGCTATTCTCTTAGACATTATCAAGGAGGTCTTTTATTTTTAATCTTATATGCTTACCATATACATACATATATATATATATATATATATATATATATATATATATAATTATTTTTATAAAAAATTTATAACATAAGTATGTTATAAAATCACTAAAAAATAGCCATTTTGTTTCAACACACTCTGTGTCTTATCAAGTGATGGTGTTGAAAAGAAAATAAATGGTTTTAAAAGTTTCAGATGAATTAACGATCCTACACTAGGGGGAGCATTGTTACAAAAGCTAGAATAACCAATCAAAAACGAAGTACAGAAAGATTCAAAAGCTTGACAACAAAATCCTGCTATTATAGCTATTTAGATCTTTAAATACGTGTAATATTAAAAATAATTTTTACTAACTAATAATTATAAATTTATATGATAAAATT